GGTATTTGTACGATTCTAGAAATTCGTCAGAGATATTATTGCAAACTGAACATGTATTTTAATGTCTGTTAATGTATTTTATAGCATCCAAATGGGTTTTTCTTCTTAATCAAATTAACAGTTTTAATTAAATGGATCAAGTTGAATTTATTTCCTTCCCAAATTAGTGTTGAAGTAATATTCGTATTATGTTTCAGATTTGAAATATTTATTTTACCTTACCATAATTGATTAAAATATTATACTAATTTTCCTGATATTAATGCCAGTGATTTATTTCGGTATCAATCAGTTGGTGCATTGAAATATAAGTATGCTTTAAAGTTCTATTTTATAAAATTATTCCTTTTTTGGATGGAAGTGGTAGTAGAATTGGAATTGGAAAGAAGAATAATTATAACTAAAAATGTTGAATGACCGAATATAAATGCTGGAGGGAGAGGTTGGTAGTGAAGATAAGATTGATAAATGTCACATTGTATTATAATCTAGGTGGAGCTCTAATATGTATGGATTATTTGGTTATGAATATTCCGTGTAGTATATTAGACTATATAGTAATATATGGTGATAAGATGACGGATATTACAATAATGGATTTGATTGGGGGATACCAGTTCTTCGAAAAAACAGAAATATCAACTTGTGAGTCCAATGTTTTTCATCAAGCTAATATATTGGTCAGTCAAATAAATAAAATGAACATGGAAAATAAAACCTATTTCTTTGTTATAGACAATAAATATTAAACGATTATGTAATAGATCTATATAATGATTATTAATAATACGAATATTAAACATATGAAAGTGAAATAACCAATAAACTTATTTCAAGAACCAATCACTCGTTAGAACGTATACCATTAGCTGGTATTGATTTTTGTGTGTTGTAATATGTTCAGTATTAGAAATATGACCAGCAAACCAGCAGGATGGAATAGGCAGCAACTAATTAGAATAATTATATGAAATGTTTAAGCTATATAGAGAGATGGTTTTCTATCTTAATGAGACTATTCCTACCGTCTATCTAATATTTATTTAATACTGTATAATATAATACAAAGATTAGTGTCCCAATTATATAGCTTATAATAATGAATTACAACCTCGAAACTGTTAATTACTCCTTCTCAGTTTCGAATCTGAGTCGACATATACTAGTGTATAACATTTTATGAACTTGAGAATGTTAAATAAGTTAAAAAATCAAATAGAATTCGATGCTCGTTTAAATAGTTTGTGCTCAATGTTTCTATTATTTTTTTGTGTGAAATCAATACGATATTTATAAATATTCAACTGTCTATATACCATCTGAGCTCTTTCTTTCTATGCATTAAAGATATTATTGTTAAAATACATATATTGTTATATCTTATTTAGTATTGAAATGAGTAGTGATCAAAACATATTTTAGAATACCAATCTATTATTAAGTATTTATAAATTTTATAATATTTAAATATAAAATATGTCAAAGTGAAGGGTTAATACACTAGCACATGAATACAATGTAGTTATAAGATGCATTTAAATGGAGAGCTGTATAATATAATAATTTACCCCTTCTTAAAACTACAATTGTGACTAAATTGGTGGTTGGTATCCTTTTGCTTTGGCATGTCTTAGAAAACGTTAATGTCACTTAAATCACTTTTATTTAAGTAAATATAGATTACAATTTGAATCAAGCATTTTATTGTGAACAATCGGTGGAGGCCTTATTATACTGTCTATCTGTGATGTATTGTTTGGTCGGTATTTGGTAAGTTTTAATTATTATATAGTTGTATAGTTAATTTGGTGTACATTAGAATAAAGTCTGTTATTCTTGTATTCTAGAGAAACTTAATGTAGAGATTTGTATTATAAAGTAAATATAGTATTAATTAATAATGTTACTGATGTTTTCTTTATATGCAAGTTAGCATACTAAATAATATACAATAATATACAATAATATACAATAATATACAATAATATACAATAATAACTCTTTATAGCAATGAATGTAATTGAAGCTAGTTTTGGCAATTGTTAATCTAATTATTCCATTAAATCGCAGTAACCTTACTATTCAGGTAACTGTGCCTCTATTAATACCACAGTGATCTAATTTATTACATTCTTATGTGATAAGGATTTTGTATTGATTACGCTTAAGTACAAAGGGATAAAAATATTTATATATTTAATATTACTATATAGTTATTATATTAGTTTTATAACCTCATAGAGTTTATAACTAATAACCTTAAGTAATTATATCTAAGGCTTCTTTCCCTATATAAATACATTAATACATTAATATTTAATATTCCTGACAAGAAAATTCAAAATGATGAGATTTATGTTTTGTTAGTTTTATATTTAGTGCTATAAATATTATTTATTATCAGTTGGATAAAGATGAAACTCATATAAGAAAAAATATTACAAAATATAAAATTGTATTTTGAACTAAAAATTGTAAAATTATTTATATTAATATGTAATAAAGAGAAGAGTTATAATAAAATAAGTTGAATTATACAAGTTAATTATATGAATAGATGTAAATTGATATAATGCTATTGAAAGTATATCAAATGAATTAGTTCTGTGACAGAAAAATGGAAATGAGAATGGTAGAAACTGATATTATTCTGGTTTGGATTTCTGTTAGAGAGATCTTAAAGTCTTATGAGGTGGGAATATATATAATTTAGTGTGTTTTAAATTGTGTATGATAAAAATATAAGGTAGTTTAATATCCAGGTGTCGAGATAGATACAACAGTATAATGATAGATACAACAGTATAATGATAGATTAGTTATTATAACTTGTAGTAGTACCAATATTAGAATGTGAGTAGGAAGATTGGGATAATTATTTGTGTCGATTCAGATTATTGGGATAATTGATTGTGTTCATTTAGATTATTGAAATAAATGAGATAGTAGATTATTATTTTGGTGGGATATATGAGATTAAGGCATAGGTGAATATTAGATTGTGACAGTGGGGGATAAGAGGAGATAGAGTTGAGATGGTAAAAATTTACAACCAGATCTGAATTCACAAGCATCGAATTATTTATATTAGATTTTAAATTGAGCAATTGGAGTTACTATTAAATTTTTAATTTTACCAAAATACCATAGTTAAGGCGAGATTTTTGTCTTTTCATCTGAAATATTTTACTATGGGAAAATATATTTCATAGTGCGAGAAGAATCCCATAGTTAAGGCAAGATTTTTATATTTTGGGCAGAATTGCATACTATGGGAAGATGTTTTATTTTGTTCTTAAGGCTGGAAAGAGTAAATATGCGTAGCCCAATATTAGGTAGTATTTTTCTCGGTTTGGTATTATTTTTTAGAATTGATCTTGGTTGGGCGACATGGATGAGAGTTGGTTATGTTTTTTAGGAAACGTGACATGGAACAGATTTTCGCGGGTCGGTGTTGTTTTTCAGGAAGCGTGACATAGAAACAAGTTTTCGCGGGTCGGTGTTGGTTTTTAAGAAAGTTATTGAGTGCGCGACGGTGTATATAATAAGGATGGTTAAAAAGGATAATGTTTAAGATAGTGGTAGTTAAAGTGATGGTAATAAAAGTGATGGTTGAAGTTAAGTAGAGGTAATGAAATTTGACCACAAAGGTAAAGTGAACATGGAGATTAAGATTATTGAATAAAATATATTCTTAACAATAAAAGTTGGTCTAATTCATTAAACAGATGGTTAGACACAATAATCATTAGTGACAGTATTATAAAAGATGAACCAGTTGAGATGGTGAAAATCTAAGACCAGATATGAAATCACAAGCATTGAATTATTAATATCAGATATTAGCTTCAACAATTGGAGTTAGTTTAGGTGCTAATTGATGGGGCCTTAACTGCTGAGGTAAGGTCGTATAAAGTGATCAGATTATTGAATAAATAGAATATTGTTACGCTACCATATTTGAAATTGATTCTCTGCAAGTGTGTCTAAGTATATACGTTTGTGCTTGTGGTTCTAAATAAATATATTCTGTAGATAATACCGTGTTACGTGATACCTATATATTATTCTTGATATTCCGGCAGAGCCCATAGTTAAGGCGAGTTTTTTGTATTTGCGGCAGGATGGTTTTACTATGTAAAAATATATTTTGCAAATTCCGACAGGATAAAAATGTATTTGCGAAAGAGTGCAGTAAATATACGCAGGGTAATATTAGGTAGTATTTTTCTCGGTTTGGTATTATTTTTTAGGATTGATCTTGGTTGGGCGAAATGGATGGGAGTTGGTTATGTTTTTCAGGAAACGTGATATGGAACAGATTTTCGCGGGTCGGTGTTGGTTTTTAGGAAAGGTAATGAGTGCGCGTCGGTGTATGTTAATTAGGATAGTTATGGACAGTAATTAATAAAGTGGTGGTAGTTAAAGTAATGGTTGTTTAAAAAGTTGTAGTTAAGTTGAGATAATGAAATTTGACCACAAAGGTAAAGTTGACATGCTGATTAAGATTATTGAATAAAAAATATTTTTAACAATAAAAGTTGGTCTAATTCATTAAACTGATGGTTAGACACAATATTCATTAGTGACACTCTGATAAAACATGAACCAGTTGAGATGGTGAAAATCTAAGACCAGATATGAAATCACAAGCATTGAATTAATAATATCAGATATTAGCTTCAACAATTGGAGTTAGTTTAGGTGCTAATTGATGGGACCTTAACTGCTGAGGTAAGGTCGTATAAAGTGATCAGATTATTGAATAAATATAATATTGTTACGCTACCATATTTGAAATTGATTTTCTGCATGTGGTTCTAAGAATATACGTTTGTGCGTTTATTTCTAAATGATATATTCCATGTATGAATTCGTGTTACGTGATCCCTTCCGTGATTATATGATAATGTGTGGCCGGTTTGTAAGGTAAGGTTGGTTTGAAAGGTTGGTTTATAGGGTTGGTTTATAGGGTTGGTTTATAGGGGTGGTTTATAGGGATGGTTTATAGGGGTGGTGTAGAGGAGTGGTTTATAGGGAGTTGATTTATAGGAGTGGTGTAGAGGAGTGGTTTATAGGAGTGGTGTAGAGGAGTGGTGTAGAGGAGTGGTGTAGAGGAGTGGTGTAGAGGAATGGTGTAGAGGAATGGTGTAGAGGAGTGGTGTAGAGGAGTGGTGTAGAGGAGTGGTGTAGAGGAGTGGTGTAGAGGAGTGGTGTAGAGGTGTGGTGTAGAGGTGTGGTGTAGAGGTGTGGTGTAGAGGTGTGGTGTAGAGGTGTGGTGTAGAGGTGTGGTGTAGAGGTGTGGTGTAGAGGTGTGGTGTAGAGGTGTGGTGTAGAGGTGTGGTGTAGAGGTGTGGTGTAGAGGTGTGGTGTAGAGGTGTGGTGTAGAGGTGTGGTGTAGAGGTGTGGTGTAGAGGTGTGGTGTAGAGGTGTGGTGTAGAGGTGTGGTGTAGAGGTGTGGTGTAGAGGTGTGGTGTAGAGGTGTGGTGTAGAGGTGTGGTGTAGAGGTGTGGTGTAGAGGTGTGGTGTAGAGCGTCGTGGCTGTACGACGCGTGCTGCGTGTACGACGGTGTGCGTGTACGAGGCTGTGCGTGTAGACGGTGCTGCGTGTACGACGGTAGTGGCTGCTACGAGCGCTGCTGGCTGTACGACGGCTGTGGTCGTACGACCGGTGCTGGCTGTACGAAGGTGTCGGCTGTACGACGGTGTCGGCCGTACCACGGCTGTGGCCTGTACGAGGGTCGTGGTG